ATCAATAACACCAGTCAGTAGATCTTTTAAAAATTTATTACCAAAGTAACATCGGCGCTCGGCTAAAGTTACTAAACCAAGATTAGTGGCAACAGGCGTGTAGTCATGAGGTGGACAATCGATGCTCATTAAATAGCTAGCAAACCGGAAAAACCTACGCTGAACCCTTTCTAACTGATAAGCATTTACAGATGTATGTGGGTCCCAAATTACGGCACCATACTCAAGTATAGGCCGTACAATAGTACAATAGAGAGCCTTAAGAGATGATTTAAGGCTAAAGTCTTTAGCCAACCTCATAACAAAGCCTAATGTTCTTAAAGCAGAACAGCAAATCATTTCAATGTGAAGGCTCGGGTCAAGATTGCTAGTAAATTTAAAGCCAAGATCCATAATAAAATCTTTACAACGTGAAATTACAGTGTCACCCAGGTGGTAAGGGAAAACTAGAGAAGTACGAGATATGGTGAAAGTCATGACCTTACATTTAGATATGTTTAGAGATAGATTAAGTTTGTCGAATAACTCCACGAATCGATTAATATCACTTTGCAGTTTTAAGCAGTCATCATTCAAATCAATTTGCATAGAGTTTGACATCATCAGCAAAACACAAAAAACGACAGTTATGAAGAGCGTTACCTATGATGTTAATAAAGATATTGAAAAGTATTGGTGATAAATGCCCCCCTTGAGGTACTCCAGAAGAAGATAAGTATAAAGTTGATTTAAAATTTAAAAGCGAGTCCCATTGATATCTATCAACTAAAAAGGATTTAAACCACGACAATAGGAGCTCGCCGAAACCAGAAGCTATAAGGATCTGAATTTGAATATCATGATTAACGGAATCAAAAGCTTTGTGGAAGTCCGTGTAAATAACATCCACTTGCGAACGTTGTTGAAAAGAGTTATAAATGAAATTACTAAAAACTAAATTACAGGTAAAAGTCGACCGACCCAGGCAAAACCCATGTTGTTCTTCAATAATAATAGAGTTGATCGACCGACGAATATACGAGAATTTAATACTAGAGATTCCAAAATTTTAGAGATGTAAGACTGAATGGAGATAGGCCTATAGTTCAGGACAGAAGATGGATCCCCTGACTTGAAAATGGGTGTAACAGAGCTAAATTTTAGAATAGCTAGATAAATTCCTTCATTAAGAGAACGCCTGAATAATAACCAGAGCGGATAACTAATAACAGAGTGTAGATGAAATAAAAAAATCACCAGAGAGACCATCAGGCCCAATAGACCTAACGCCACGTAGACTAGATAACTTATCAAACACATCATAAACACTAAAAGCGACATTGGACGGTAAGTCAAACGAAGAAATACCAAGTTCATCAACGTTTAAAGCAACCTTTTGAGAAGAGTACATGGAGGAAAAGTAAGTTGAAAATAACTCAGCAGAATCATGATTACACGAAGCAATGTGTTCATTGGGTTTTAAAGAACTAGGAATATTACTATAAGATCTATTTTTTTTTAACAAATTTCCAAAAACTCATAGGATTAATAATAAAAAACGATTCAACATTAGATGAATAAGTACGAAAACTCTTTTTGGATAAGTATTTAAATTTTGCCCTAAGGAAGGAGAATTTTTTGTAGTCGTAAACACTAGATGAAGATTTAAACCTGGCATGTGCTTGTTTCTTTAATATGACTAATTTTTTAAGTTCTTTAGTGAACTAAGGAGGAAATGAAGAAAAACTATATTTACATTTAGGGACAAAATCAATAACCACTTTATGCAAGGCATCATAAAATGCATTAACAGCAGAATTAATGTCAAGCGGCTTGAAAGTAGATGATCAATCAAGTATTTCTAAGAATGTACTAATTGTACTAATTGAGTGATAATCTGCTTTAGAAAAATTATAAAATGATTGGTAACGTTTACTGTTAAGGTCCAAAGGAGAACAAGATAGAGACATATAAAGAGCTGGGTGGTAGGGATCAATTGAGACAGCAGGCTCAAGGGAATTTTCAATAGACATGAGCTTGGTGTTACAAAAAAACTAGATCTAAAATCGAACCATGATAATTGTGAATATTATTTATCTGAAAGAACGAATAGGTTGCGAATGCTTCCGGTATACACGGTGCTATGGGGGACGATGAAAAAGAGTAACGTAAACCACAATCATCATTATCCCATAATATTTCAGGTAGGTTATAGTCCCCCAGAAACTATAAATATGATCTTTGAACTGACAGGTTATAGATTCAACAGATTTGACGTGATATTTATAAATATCAGGATTGGAATGTGAAGGAATATAAACACCACCAACTACATAACAAAAGGCACCGATAGAGAATTTATCAAAAATCTGTTCAACATTTGTCTCAGAAATTAAAAATAAGATGAGAGGAAATATCCTTGCGAATGCCAATAAGGACACCACCACCGCGATTACAATTACTAGAATTAGAACATCTATCAGATTTATAAATATTATAATTAAACAGACCAAGTTCACTATCATAAAATTTTTTTGCTATTCAAGTTTCAGTTAAAATTAAATAAGCGAAATTAAATTGAGATACATTACATTTAAAATTGAGCAGTTTAGTCCTAAGGCCGCGACAGTTTTGATAATAACCATGTACTGAAACACTATTGGTAGGAGTTTATTTATAAATAGTAACAATATAAATATTCTATAGCTAGGAGAATACCTACTATTATTAAAATAAAAACGAATATTTGATCATTTATATTTTAGATTTTATGGTCATCGAGTAATTTTTGATAGCACTGTAACTTGATTAGCATATCCATCAATTAGACCAAAGTGTAGTGCATAAAAAAAATCCCCGAAAAAAATTCAAAAGCACATGAATAAACTCATTTTTTACTTAATACATATTTTTTATAAGTATTTAATACTATTATAATGATTCGTATAGTCTGTTAGTGCTTGGAAGAAGGGACATACGTGAGAATAATGTTAGTAACATCATTTATTATTAATAAAAGTTTCAAATATCATTGCAAACATATTTTATACTTATAACTAAGGTAACTATTAGATAGTAGCTATTGATTACTTACTTATAACTAAATACTTGATTAATTAACGCTAAATTTTAAATTGATATTTTTGAGTAATTTTAGAGAACAATTATTTTTATTTATAATTGGAGTGTATAAAATTTATACATTTAATGTGATTATGTATAAATAGTTAAAATATACAAAGTTGAAATATAATTAAAAATAAAATCATTAGCTGATGTTCTTAAAAACTTAAAATAAGATACACTTATAAATCCACAATAAATATTTTAATTGGTGTATTTTTTCCATTTTATTTATTATAATTCAAACCGCATACATTTTGTTTACTAATTTATTTCCGATTACATATATATGTTTTATGTAAACACTTTTAAACTTAAGATTAATAAAATTGTACAAACGTTTTCATACTATCAAACTGCACTTATTTAATAAACACACACAAAAAAAAAAAAAAAAAAAAAAAAAAAACAGAAATCAGGTTCAATAATTTATAATTTTTATTATTTACTCATTGGAAAATTATAATATCATCTTTATAATTGGTCCCGAAAATATTTTCCTATATACAATATAAATATATAAATATGTGTACCTATATTAAACATTTGAAACTTCCGTATTCTTACTCATTGAAAAATGAAGTATTGAAAAATCCTAATTGATTTATTATTTATAGTCTCAGTATAAAATAATAAATTAAAATGAATAAGTAAATATTTATGATTACATATTAATTTGGAGACTGAAATTTCAATAAATTATTAAGTATTCATAATGTTCTGTATGGAATATCTAAGTATCATTTCTCTCTCCCTACCATTTAATAGCTGAAACTTATTAATATTTCTCTAATAAAAATGTATATATTTTATATTTCTAATATTGGAATCTCATCTCTTACCAAGATTTCGAATTTTCTGTTAAATAAAGATATAGATCGTTATTTATATTATTTTTCCCATTGTAGTATTATTTTATATTTCTTCAAATAAATTATATTTAGTTTAAAGAAGTTAAAATTTATCACATGCGGAAGGCGTGTATATTTAAATTTAAAAAGATGATAGTTTAAACGAACAAAAATTACTAATTATTTTTCACATTTTTCTTTTTATCATGCATATTAAAATATTACTGTACAATGATGAATTTAAATTTAATTATTTTAATTTAATTAAAAAATTAAATAATTTTAATTTAATTAAATTTAGAAATTCTTCTTAAATTTTTTAATACGGTTCAGATTGCGTAGAACTTTTCTTTGAAAAATCTTAGAAGATATTAAGTGAATAACTTTTATAAAACGTTTAAGCATCGCGTATTATTTAAAGTTTTGATTGCTTTTGTATGAATTTGTTATCAAACGTTAAATGTTTAAAACACGTAGAAATTTTTATAATATAGGGTGATATAAGGTATGATATAAGATGATGCGTATGATTTTCTGTGAAAATTATAACCCAGGAACCCAGATGGTCGGTGCTATACATTGGGGAAATTCGGTGGCCACGCTGGGATTTCACGGTAAAAATAAAACAAAGCTCTGCAGAATAACCTATGGTATTTGCAATGTTGAACACGGTCGAGGTCGTGAAATTCTGTGGAAACTTTGCGCGATTGACTTGAAATACTCAATATTTACGAACTACACATTGAGTCAAGAGGTTAGGGTACAGTGATTATAGGAAGGCAACTTTACACAAAAAAAAAAAAAAAGTCATAAATCTTACATTTTTCTTTAATCATGTTCAAATGCAATTTAAATAAAAAACAAAATAATATGTTTTAATTGTTATCTTAATAATATTTTCGAATGCTATTTAAATTTAATTCATGAAATCGGGTCCTAACCCGTATATTATTTCAATAAATAAATAATTAAATAAAAAACAAAAATAAAATAAACATTTGAATAAAATAATAATAATAAAGATAGTTAAACTTGTCTTTTGCGAACCGTTGTATAATATCCTTATTAATATTGAATCGGAATCATGAGACTCGATAGTAAAAGTTTTCGATGTATTAAAACAATCGTAACGGTGTACACGGTCTCATGGCATTGCGAAATTCACATAGAACCTGCATCAGACGTATGTCTAAATAAAAATGAAAAAACCTCAGCCTCGGAGCCGCGGCGCAACGTCACCGCCGGCTGGCTCTCCGGCTTCGGATTAAGATGGTGTTTCGTTAATATTCTTACCGGTACCGACGTCCACGTGCCCTGATATTGGTCCGCGGTTGTTGTACGACTGTATATGAGCACTAATTACCGTTGCGGGTTTCGGAACGCATCGCACGCGCACCACCTCTCGTAAAACGCACACTGCACCGCACCGACCTAGGCTCGCGCGCCTGATGCACACAATCGTACGCGGGGAAATGGGGGGGGAGGGGCGAGACGGGCGGACGATAGGGTCGGATGCTAAAAAATGCGAACCGGATCACTGGTCGGAAAACATCGCGAGCGAACCACCGAACGGGATGCGATCGATTGCGGAGACGGCCGCGGCGACGGTATCGGACTTCACGCCTCGATGGCTTTTTAACGACTGAAACCGCAACGCGGTACGCGCTACGTTCCGGGACACATGCATCTCCGTGGCGGGCCGGCGCGCAACCTGAATCGCGCACATGCCGGTTCGTACGCGTGCAACGGCGCAATTACAGCGGCGGCGAGGTGGCGGGTGGTTGCCAAAGGTGTCGTGCGCGCCACCACACCGTTGTCGTCATTTCTTTCCGCATTTAATTCCAACAATAACGTTTTATTAAGCCGTCGAAATGTATTCATCGGCCCTGGCCATACGATTACTACTAGCGGTACGAACCCGACGCGTCAACGTTCGTGCGAACGTGAAAAAAGGTTAGTTAAGGTCGGTTAACAGGCCACCTCGGTTACCGAGTACATAGGAGACAACTCGGTAATCGGTTACTCGTTAGTTAACGTTTTGATTTTAGAATCAAATTTGCCAACCGTATCTTCCAACATCCCACGATTCTAATCAATTTTACATATCAGTTCGTGCGATACGTTTCATTTCGTAAAACAATTTTTAACCATCATCGTATCTACACATTGGGACTCAGTTAAATTCTTAGAAAATATTTAAACTAAAGGTAAAATCACAAAAAATATCGGTAAAAAATCATTATTAGTGTTATTATGTTCATATTATTTAGAGGTCAAAGTAAAGTAAGCGTTTTTCAGCTAGAAGTCTGAAGATTAGTTTTACGTCTAGTTTAACACACTCAGTCTGTGTTCATAAAATGTAAACGTACTGTGTGATTATCGAGTGATTTTTAATAGTAATAATAAATTAAAATAAATAATCGAAAAACTGTTAATTTATATTGTTCCTTCATTTTCCCACATTGTGTCGCAAAAAGCAAAATCTTACACGATACCTGGAGCCAACTAATATAACCAAAATATTATACAAGTTAAAATTACGTTAAATTTATAAAATAAAAATAAATTTAAAAAATTTGATGTTTACAAATCATAACTAATATATTACGTTAGTTAAAAAAAAAAAAAAAAAAAAATGTAAAATGTAAAACTTATATTTAAATAATTAAATAAAACATTACGAGCTAAAACCTATTGAGCCACATTTGAATATACCATTTGGAATACATAATATGATAAAAAATAAAATATCGATCCTTCATATATTACGAATTCATAGATGAATAACGCATTTTGTATAAACGTTGTTGTCAAATCAACTTAAAATTAAAACAAAGCAATTAAAAACAAAAAATAGAAAATTAAATAAAATATTTTTTGATTTTTCTTATTTTACTTAGTAGGTATTCATTAAATTTAAATACATTAATTTCATAACAAAAAAAAAAAAAAAGTATATGTTTACAAAATCCAAATAATATTCCAAACTAATAATAGTTCAAATAATAATCACAATAATAGTCATAGTGATGATTAAAATAAAAATTACTTCATTTTTGTGTCTCAGGTTAATCGGATTATGATACTATTTTTAACGTTGTTGTTTTATACATTTCGTCCGAGAGTTAAAAGTATATGAGAGAAAATCGGTGGTATTTTCTCGTTGTGTTACTTCCTTATTCCATTTGCCAGCCATACACTACCTCCAGCGGTCAATGGTGGACGGAAATCGCAGTTTCTTGACCAGATGGAAAAATAAACGTTCTGTACAAGAAACCGCGTATTCGTCGTTGTCATCGTCGTAAATGTCATCGATCACTCGAGAGGGATACACACAGTGGTGAAAGGTGAAGGGATGCCAAACGAATTCCAAGGGAGAAAACTGTACTCATATATTGGTGAAAGTGGTAGTGGTAGTGGTAGAGGTGCAGCTGTGATGACGCGATTTATGTCGAGTGGTCGGTCGTTTCATTTTTTTCTTACAATTCGCGTTTTTCATATTTTAGTCGTCGAAGAACGCACAAAAGACACGTTACCGTCAAAAAAAACTTATAACACGGATAATGGTTGTTTGAATTATCGTACAAAGCTTATACATAACCATTCAGATTCGATTGTTTTTAAACTATACAATGCATATTTTTAAATATAATAAAACATTTTTAATTTGGAAAATCGCAATATTAAATTTTAATATTTTATTGTACTTAATGTTGCATTTAGATTATCAATTCTCTAAATATATTATTGTTATTTGTTAAATGTATCAATTTTATTTCAGATTATTTCAACAAAAGAAAGCTTAATCTTAACAGAATATTAATCAGGTAATGTTAACCAATATAAATTAATAGAAAAAACGACGTAAGATCATTGGTTGGATTAGATACAAAAATAAGTAATCATATTTCTAAATTCATCGTTCAATCTTTAAACCGATTACCATTCCTCTAGGAAAAATGATTTTGAGTGAAAAAGGTAGAATTAAACTTTTAAAATTTTAACTTTTGAAAAAAAAAATGTATTCAAGTATTTATTTAAGTTACTAAAATAAATGATTCTTTTTTTTTTAATTATCATTATAACCATGAAAAATAAACCATAAATACAGTAAAATCAAAATTCTTTGTGATACTCATTTTTTTCAAATATTTTTTAACAGTATTTTTTTCTTAACCTACACAGAAAATTATAAGAAAATTAATATGTCACATTTTCAAGCCTAAAGTATAAAATTAAAAGCTTTAAAATTACAAGTAGATTTTTGAGGTTTTTCTGCTGTAAAAAAAAAAAAAATATTATAAAAATGTTATTTAAAATTAACTTCAATAATTATTCATCAAACAATAAGATGTACCTATGTAAGAGAAACTTTGTATTCAATTGTTATGACATTTTACGAGAAATAGCAAAATAGACAAAAAATTTAATTTTATAGAAAAATGGTAAGTCGTACTTTTTTTTCTTTTTTATTTAATTTTTTGTCACTTTTTTGAAAATGATTTGCAAATTCATAACTATGACTCGGACTATATTAATTATTGCTCAGACTTGTATCAAATAGAAAATATTTTCTATCAGAAATCCAATGAATTTGCTTAACGGAGCAATCCTTCTGATCAAAATTATGTACGTATCTTTAAAAAAAAAGACATACATGATGGTACCGCAATTACTTATACATTCTTATTTTTTCTCAAAATCTAAAAATAAAAACTATTTCAACATTCACCAATCGCTCAAATAATTTCATATAACAGCAACATTTTTTATACATGTGAATCACATTATGGAGGCCCTTCCATTGGAATACATGTTGTATTAAAAACTAATCCTAGGCCTAATCAATGAATTAAGTAACTACCATACATATATGTTACATTCATAATGATAACTATACATTCAGTTTCATGTTATAGGTATACATTTTGGAATAAATAAAACAAATGATTTCACAGTAAAACTTTATTTAATTGTTTTTAAAATCAGATTATTATAGAATTGTTTTTATGAGTCAACCGTAAAATGTATTTTGATAAACGCGGAAGAACAATTTCATTAAATATAATTTATTGTCAGTATATATTAATCAAAAGATTTTCATGACTTTTTTGAAAGAAAATTCTTTGGACTCATTTCACTGAAAACGCGATTAACCTTTATTGGTTTTCAACAAACTTTGGAATATTACGGGGTTTAGAATTAAATTACATGAAGTTTTATCAAAGAAAATTCGCATAACACGATTTAGATGGAATAGAAATTTCTTATTAACTTGAAGTACCTGAGTATTGAATATTGAGTTTTGAGCATTATAAGCCATTTTTAAATAAATATTACTTATTGTTTAAATTAATATTTCAATAAAAAATAATAAATTATACGGAAGGCAAAAAAAAAATTAAAAAAAATAAAAAAATTAAAAAAGTGTCTATGTAATAATAGGGTTTCAAACGTTTGACAATTGTCAGTTAAATATTCAAACTGTGTGATATCAAATATAGCGTAACATAAATAACACAACTTAAAACTAGTTTTGGAGCGATAAAGGCAAAATAATAGCTTTTACAAGTTTATATGTTTACCACAACTTCGTAAAATGCATAGAAGAAGTACAAAAATCTCTTAGGAAAGTATATATTACGTTATGGTTGCGTACCGATATGAGTTTTTGTAAATAATTAAAAGCCATAAAATTTAACAGGAAATATAAAATAATCCGTGTTTAAACAAGTTTTAAATGTATTCGTAAATTAATTGGGTTTATTAGAAACGTAAATCAATAAACATATGAAATTATGAAATGAAATTACAACTACGTATGTATATACAATAAAATAATGAAATATTATTATAATTAATGAACTTTGTGCGGGAAACTCTGAATACTTGGTACGTGGTCGGAGAGCCGATAAATTGGTAATGAGAAACTTATTCCGCGGTGTTTATTAAATAATCAATGCAATAAAATTTCAGAAATACTTGATAACTCGATTGCCAATTTTGGAAATCAAATACAAAGATAAAGCTAAACCGAAATAGTATATTTAGATTAATATATAAATATAATATTTGGTCCTAAATTGAATTTTAATATTGCTTATTTAAGAGCATTTTAGTACACCAATTCCATAAATATTAAATGGAATGTATAAATAACAGTGAATTAATATGAATTTAATAATTTTGAAAAAATTCCGTACATGCGGCAATATCAATGATCAGTTAAGGGGGTTGGAAGTGGAACTTTTTTAAGGAGTTGAGTATAGACAATACCTTATAAGCGTAATGTTATGCCTTGTGAGCATGTGCATTAGTAAACGAATATTAGTGAGCGTCTGACTTCCCCGAAATAATACGCTCCGACCTTATCAGCAAACAGATTGTCATTAGTCATTAGTCATTACCGTCGTCGTTTATGCGCCGCAAGACAAGTAATATTATTCAATATTATTATTATTATTATTATTATTATTTATCAATTCATAATAATTAATAAGTATAACGCATTTGCGATTCTAGTGTGATAATCATCGGTTGCCAAATTTTATAAAAAAAAAAGTTTTAAAACGAATATTTATAACATCTAATTATTAATTAATTCAAGATGTATTACAAATAAAATAAAAAGCTAAAGGTGTTATTATCATAACAAATAAATTCGTAAGCTTTACCATTTATATAATTTATCAAAATAAA